GGATTCTGCAGAGAGATCTGGACAGGCTGGATCGATGGGCTGAGGTCAACTGTATGAGGTTTAATAAGGCCAAGTGCTGGGTCCTGCACTTGTGTCACAACAACCCCATGCAACGCTACAGGCTGGGGGAGGAGTGGCTGGAGAGCTGCCCAGCAGAAAAGGTCCTGGGAGTGCTGGTTGACAGCCAGCTGGACGTGAGTCAGCAGTGTGCCCAGGTGGCCAAGAAGGCCAACAGCGTCCTGGCCTGTATCAGAAATAGTGTGGCCAGCAGGAGTAGGGAAGTGACCGTGTCCCTGTACTCGGCACTGGTGAGGCCGCACCTTGAATCCTGTGTTCAGTTTTGCACCCCTCACTACAAGAAGGATGTTGAGTTGCTAGAGTGTGTCCAGAGAAGGGCAACAAAGCTGGTGAAGGGTCTGGAGCACAAGTCTTATGAGGAGCAGCTGAGGGAACTGGTGTTTACCCTGGAGAAGAAGAGGCTGAGGGAAGACCTTATCGCTCTCTACAACTGCCTGAAAGGGCGTTGTGGCCAGGTGGGTGTTGGTCTCTTCTCCCAAGTGACTAGCGATAGGACGAGAGAAAATGGCCTCAAGTTGCACCCGAGGAGGTTTAGATTGGATATTAGGAAGAATTTCTTTCCTGAGAGAGTGGTCAAACATTGGAACAGGCTGCCCAGGGAGGTGGTGGAGTCACCATCACTGGAAGTATTCAAAAAACATGTGGACATGGCAATTCAGGGCATGGTTTAGTGGGCATGGTGGTGTTGTGTTGATGGCTGGACTTGATGATCTTAAAGATCTTTTCCAACCTTAATGATTCTGTGATTCTGTGTGACTTTTACCCCTACAATCTTGCATGATACTGTGACCACTGATTTCCAAACGGATCCACAAGTGGTTTATATGCAGACCTGCAGTAGCATCCTGCTGACCTGGGTATCTCAGAAAGTTATAGTAACTCAAATGTAAATATTTGTTCTTTTCACTTGAAGACCAGTGTGAATAAAGAGATCTTCCTCACCTGCATTAGGTAGAACATAGAAAGATTACAAAGTTTCTTTAGGAAATAAAGGGTGAGGAGGGAGAGGATTTCTCCTTGGTGCAGTTTATTCTATATCTCTGTAGCATAACAAGGAGTTTGTTATTTTTGGGGGGAAACAGCTGGTACAGGTTAACATCAGTGACAAATACATTGATTCTCTCATTTGTCCCAAGACAGAACAAAAAAAAGACTGGTTTGTTTGTTTGTTTCTATGGGAATCTGTGAAGTCTGCAACAGAAACCTGATTCTGTGCAATTGATAAAATCTTTGTGTAGACATTCCTGTTCAGTTACCACTACCAGCAGTTAACTATATTAACGTACCATCTACAACTTTTTTTCTCTTTTATCTCTCTGCTGCTTCCAGATGACTCACACTTTCACAGTCCCTTGTTCAGCATCACTGCCTGATGTCTCCTCCTTTAGTCTCAGTCTCTTGGGCTACATCCTTACTGTTACAAACCAGCATAACGCCGTAGAGTTTAGTAGATCTGTACTCATTTAATGCGACTGAGTATGTGACCACCCTCATTAGATGTCAGGCAAGCAATGTAGGTAATAAACCTTGAGGTTTCTCAGGCTAAGTATTTACATCCTCAGTTTACATTAATTTGACATGCATACATTTGCATCTATTAATGGCATTACCATATCTGAATAAAAAGAGTGATTATGTGTGGATTTTTTAGCATGTAAATTCTCTGAAGCATGGAGAATTCCATTTTGTATATGTAGAAGCACCTTTTCATTGCTAACAGAAACAAGTGATAAGTAGTAATAGCAATTTACAATGATTAAGAGCAGTAAGAGATAGAAATATGCTAAATAGGAAATCTGTGTTAGTAGATAGTGTTTCATCGCAAACATTCTCCTTATAGTTAAGACAGTATTTCCTTGGGTACCATCGAAGTTATACCAATCAGTTTTAGAGTGGAGGCTAGAAGCAGAGCTCTTCAGGGTTTATTCTTCTACTGTCCCCCCTTACAGGGATAGCCAGGTCTTCCCTTTTAAGAAGGTCAACCACTGAGCAAAACAGAAGGCTGCGCAGCAGTAGGAGGGAGTAAAGTGGCTGATGCTAGTGCTGGCTTTCAGCTGATGGCTGTACTGCTTCGACCAAGTCAATTTAGGCATAGCTCCTTTTTATTCCCTGTAGATGATCACTAACTCATCCAGCATTTGGATAAAATTCCAGTGGAGGCCATTCTTTAGATTAACTTTATCAATATAATAATTTCAGGCAAAGGTAAACTAACAGTCTGCAATTCATGATGGTTGACAATTTTTTGCAGTTCCTTTGTAGGGAATCATTTTAAGCTAATCTCTGCTCTGTGCTCTATTTGTAGCCACAGCTGTTTCCAGTGAACAGAATCCTGTTATTATCATAGCTGTGGTTGCTGTGGCAGGAACCATCATTCTGGTCTTCATGGTGTTTGGATTCATCATCGGGCGAAGGTATTGCACCTTGTATCAGCATAAGCACATGCGACCCCACTCTTGCGAACTCCTGAGACATAGTCTAATCTTGGATAGTAATTTGCAAAACTGAAACAGAAGTAATTTTCAGTAAGGACAATTTTCATTGAAATCCTGCTATCAATTATACAGTTCACCCTCTTACTTGGGCAAGACACACTTAAATCGAGATATCCTTTTTGTCCTATGTAAATGTGCTGTAAAAGGGACCCCTAGCAGGTTCTTTACCTGTACTCCTCAAAGTCCCTCTTTCCATTCAATTTTCTCACATGGAGAAGTCTGACACTTTATCTGATCAGCCTTTAAATGACTTTACGTTTAAAAAAAGAGGCACAGCAGTAAGTTTAAGAATATCCTCATGTAAAACAGAGTTCTGCTTTCAAGTTCTTTAATCCTCTGTTTTATCCGTACAAGCTTTTCACCAGAACTAGAATTTTCTCTTTAGGACCTGTCCCAACTGGTATTTTATACAAAAGCCTTTTGATTGCAACTGTTCATGATTTATTTAAAACTCTGCTGTCAAGAGAATTATAGCTGAAACTTTCAAAGGGCCTACATGAGTTAGGTGCTCAGTGCCTGAAAATCCCAGCTTACAAAGCTGATGTTGTCAGGACTTTAGATGTGAGGAAGTCACTCATTATTTACCAGTAAAACTGGAGTCTTTCTTTTCAGGCATTGTGGCTATAGCAAAGCTGATCAAGAAGGGGATGAAGAACTTTACTTTCATTGTAAGTGTTTTGCTTTTTTTCTCCCTTTCAAAGATTCCCAACTGAAATAGTGTAGACAATACTAAAACAACATTCCATGAAAGACAAGAAAGACATAAGAAATTAAAAAATACTGTGTACATAGCAAGTTGGAAGTTAAACACTGTAAAAGTGTGACCTGCATGAAAAGAATGCAGATTAAAGTCAACATTGCTCTCTCAGACAGTTTTATTTCTATACATGGGTATGATATATTGTTGTTATTATTCTGCTTTTTTTTTTTTTTCTTTTGGTTGCTTTGAATACGTTTCACACTATCCTAATGATCCCTCTGAGGTGCAGTGTTTGAGAGACCTTTGGCTAAGAGACTATACGCTCTCTACCTTAGGTAAACTTCTGGTTAAGAAAGTGTGGGTCATTGCATCACCCTAACAATGAAGATGTTCTGCTCAGACACTGTTTTCTCCTGCTGTGAATACTGTTTACAGAACATAATGTCCTTAAAAATAGAATATTTAATATGAAAAGAAAGGTCAGCTACTTCATTACTATTCTCTGTTCTAGAATCACTTGCCTAAGCAAAGAATAACACCTAAAACCTCCCTTGTTAAAATCATAGCTACCATATGAACTTACATGATGGGAAAATTCAATAAAATACATCTTTCTTGGGTTAATAACAATTGAAAATTAAGGGGAAAGGAAGACTTATGCAAGAGCAGTTTCAGTTTTATCAAAACAGGGTTTAAAAAACTTTCTTATTTTAGCCCTTTCTCACCTCAGATGTAATATCATTTTGACATGAGAAATTAAATTTCTTTTCATTTCTTTTAGAATCAGTCATTAACTCAGGAAGTATGGTAAAACTAAGTTGCAAAATGATTTTAAGCATCCAAATTTGCAAAATCACTGAACAGAATTAAACTGGGTATAAGTTCTGACACAGAACAATGCCTGGGTTTCCAGTCTTCTCCCATACTTGGTAACTCTCATATCAGTAGAGCTTGCTATTTAGTCACACTAATGCTGTATGTAGCCTTTGTTGTCTACCAATACTAGCATCTGTAGCTTAAATCCATCAGATTTTTTTTTTTTTATGAAAGCAATATGTTTATCTTATTTTACATATGTTAAAATCATGAGCTTTGTGAGACTGTAATGTCACATGGAGAATGAAGTAGCCACAGGTCACAGATTTGTAGCATCTTCTCAATGCATGCCTCTTTAAATGAGTAGTTCTAGTCAAAGCTCCACTCAAAATCAGATCAAGGTTTCTTTTTCACCTTTCTTCCCTGAAAAAATCAGATCATCTGGAATTTGTTCATGCTTCCTGAGTTTGGGTCTGTCGCTGCCTAAATCATTTCCTTTATATGTAGTGAGCATTAAACTAAGTAGTGATATCATTGCAGCTTCAGTCAATCAATTAATAATCTGCGCAAGAAAGGTAGAAAATAATAATGGGATAAGAATTATTTATCACGCACTTTGCAATGAAGCTGATTTTAAAGAATTCTTCAAAAATCTGATGTTACTTAAATGCTACTATTCTGGGAGTGATGGATTTGAAATTTGCCTCTCATAATGCATTATAAGCTTTTCACGTCTTCAGAAGAGCTACTGCTTTCACTTTTAAAATCACCAAAATGTCTTTGAAGGAAAAGTTCAACTATCTCTTCTTGTATGTCAGTACAAAACCGAAAGGAATATCCTAGCTAAATAATTACTTTCTTCATCTCCATTATCAGTGTCATTTTTTGTTTCAGTGAAAGTGTAAATGAATTAATATGAAAGCTACTATTTAATGATTAATAGTTGATCCAGAAATGGTGAGATTTTATAAGTGTTCATTTCTTTCATTTTACTTTCAAGAAATCTGGTTATCCAGCAAATCAGTCATAACAGTTAGCATACACGCTCTTTTTAAAATCATAACACCAAATATAAGTTACTTTTTGCCAAGCTAGTTTTTCATTGTCTGTTGATTGAAGTTTTAGTGTTTAATATGAGAACCATGTGCAGAATGAGACGGAACCCAGTGCTGTGGTCACCAGTTTGGTCACAGAGCTGTGGACACCAGTTTGGTGTCCTTTTGCTCCATAACATCTAGAAAACCTTCTTCTCTGCTGATGTACCAGATTGAATTTTCAAAAACGTAACTTACAAGAAACGCTTACTCAACACAAAAACTTACAAGTAACCATTTTTAAAGCACTATATTTAATAGAGTATCGTATTTTTTGTTTCAATCGCCCTCAACTTTCTGTGACCTCAAGTGCTACACTTGGAGATACAAGTACAATGGAGGAGTTTAGTCAAGCAATTCAGATTTATATTTGGTTTCCTCCTACCATTTTCTTCTAACAATGTCTTCAAATCCAGGCCAGCATTATTTCACCTTGGTATGCCAGGATAGCCTTGGCCTGTCAAAATGTTTTATGACAGCTTGAATAAAGAATCATCAGAGGCCCACTTGAGATTCGCAAGGTTACCTCCAATCCAGGCCCCTTATCACAAACACAAGAGGATGGCTCCTTCTCCATCTCCCTGCCTGAAAGCACTATTATAGGAGGTTAACTTACTGCTTTCTTCTCATTTTCGCTAGTCATGTTTTATTTTAAAAAATAAATATTTAACATTTAAAAAAATTTGTAGCATTATCAATACAATTGGAAGAACATCTATTTAAATACATAATATGGCAGATAACATCTAGGCAACATTTCAAAAAATTTCTCTGTATGTAAATTCATTAGACTACTCAAACAATTTCTCTAGCTTTTTCCTTCTTATGAGAGTTTAGGGGTTTTTTAGTGAGTAATTCCATCTAAAACATAAATACACATGATTACTAAGGTATTTTTCAATATATTTTCAAATTTAAAATATTTTATGTTCAATTAAATGATTACAAAGCAACCATAAATTATTTATGTTTTGTATTGACTTTTGATCCTATTGTTGTATATCAGTATATCAATTAGCAGAGGAACATTTTTGCATTTTCATATTGAATTTTAATTCACTGATTTAATTAAAGCTCAGGACTGTAATCCTTGTAAGCTGAATTTATTTCATAAAAATTGCTTGATTAATAGATTTCCAAGGTAGGTCTACTTTCACGAGAAGTTTCTATTTTCACCAGAAGAGCAAAAAATAATTTTCCTGAATCAGCAGCAAACTAAGGGAACAAACTACATGCTGGCCATAAAGCTATGCTGCCTGAGTTGCACTAAGTGCTATACTGGATAAAGAGAGAGCAAAAACCAAATTGGTGCATATTATTCACTTAGGTGCTTGGGAGAGGGAATATTTGTGCCACAGATCCCACTTTCCCTTCCTATGCCTTTACAAGTTGACTACTAGTGTTTCTCATGTTCATGTTCTAGTGCAAGTAACATACCTAAGGACAGAAATTCTAAGTGCTGTGACTAGTTTAGCTTGGCTATTGCCACACTGTAATTAATATTATATTCAGTAGGTTAAGCAAATTAAGGTAGGTGGAGGAGCCTTTCAAATCGGACTAGATAACATAAAGAAATGCTGTTTATGCAACCTGGGACAAGAGGATAAGCTGTCCTTATACAGAAAAGAAAGTTTCACCTCCTTTGCTGGTCTCATACCCCTTCCCCTGCTTTATTTTTACTCCCACTCAACCCTTGCATTTTATTCCATTGAGCACTGTTTAATATTTATTATTTATTTTACTTCAAGGTGGAGATGCAGATGCTAAAGTTAGTAATTTTTAAAGATGGGATTGTGTACTTGTCTCAGCATGCGTGCAGATGATGCCTAAAACTAAGGTTGCCTCTCAAAGTGGCTCTGACTCAGGCAGTGTGGAAGCAGGTTCACTCTTCCGAGGAGCACCCTGCGTAATGAAATTCCTGGGCTGACTGCACAATAAGTGCCTTTGCTTCATCACAGTCATGCTTTCTTACATCATTACAGTTAAATTTCCAGGCACCAAAACCTACATTGACCCTGAAACCTACGAGGACCCAAATAGAGCTGTCCATCAATTCGCCAAGGAGCTAGATGCCTCTTGTATTAAAATTGAGCGTGTGATTGGTGCAGGTAAGGCTGCCGTGGCTTCCTGATTCAACTGTTTCATTTAGCTGGGATCGAAACTCATACATCATAATGACAGGCAAATAATTATACCTCAAGTATAGAAGAACTTTTTGCATTTTCTAGAGTGGTTAAGAGCAATGAAGCTGCACTGGCTTCTAAAATGTAAAAACAAACAGGGCAAAAAAACCCCAACAAAAAACAGATAAATAAGTAAATGAAGAGTCTTGCTTGATACTGAAAGCTTGTAGATTTCTAATTCTGTATCTGCTGTTAAAAATGTAATTGGGGGAAGAAGGACAGTTTTGCTGCCTGTTATTTACTGTCAGAGTAAAGGCGTTAGGTATGACTGCAAATTCTGCTCCCTTTCCTTTTGCAAGAGGGCTTTTTGACCTCTGAATTTTTGTTCATGTGAGCAAGGAAAACTGGCTGCAGCACAAAATCTTAAATAGAGACTAGGAAGGTCTTATTTTTGTATAACAAAATCTTTCCTAAGGCTGTTTTTTGTTCTACCATTTTTCTTTTTGATATTTTATGAATACAAAAGGTTATTGTTTAACTTCTCATGACTGATTGTAATTGCATCAGCATTACATTGCTTTTCTTCCTCTTGAACTGTCTACCACCTACTTAAGCCATGGTGTTCATGCTCTAAAAAGGCAGTTTCATTTGTTTGCATTAATAAGATATGTGACATTTTTATTGCACTACTCCATGTAGTGAAATTAAGTTTCCATGGGTAAGAAAAATATCAAATACTTTGGATTCCTGAAGGAAATGTTCGTTTGCTTTCCTGTTATTCTATAAAAGTATTAGTAGAATATTTTTTAAATCACCCTGTAGTTTGACATGCACTGTAAATTCCATACTGTGATATTATGTAAAAAGAGAAGAAGAAATAGCTCTAAAATAAGCTGTTTTACCTGTAAAAAAATCTTTACACTTAAAATTCACAATATCTCCTTAAAGTAACCTCACTCATGTTGAATCATGTCTTAATCAAGGAGTATTACCGTTGAAATTAACAACACTGCTGAGCAAATTATTCCTTCAGATGAGTAAGAGCATAAGAATCCAGCCCTTGCTAACTAGTAATTTTTGTGATGCTAGAATGGCAGCACCTCTTCTAATAAATACACAACACACAAGATTTAAATTCAAGATTAGCATAGAAAAATTACTGAGCTTTAACTTCTGCTTTGTGTTAAAAAACTATCAGCATAGCAACAGTTCCGAGTGCAAAGTTATATTCAGTTGGACTTGCCGATGCCTTCTGAGCAAAATGCTGAAAACGCTTCAGTTGCAAATATCATACTGTTTAAAATGTATTTTAATGTACTGTTATGACAGAGTAATTCCAGAGTGTTAATTTTGTTGACTGTAGATGAATTTATTCCTGATTTTAATGAGTATAACTGATAGCAAAAAACTAACATGTGTCAGTAGTCATTCTGAAGAAAATTAATTAGAAGTGCTATGGTGAAAGCATATTGTGTACGGGGTCTAGCTATGGCTTTAACCTGTTAATGTAGATAGGAAACACGAGTGAAATGAAATGCAGCCCAGGAACAACAGAATGTTAAAGACCCAAAGAAGCAGCTGAAACTCATACATCAAAGAAGAACATAGAATTTCTGCTAGCGACAGCACCGGAAAAGCCACTTAGCAGTCTCAATATGCATCAGCAATGCTGGCCACATCAGCTATTGAGCATTGCCATGTCTCTCTCAGACAAACAGGGTGCAAGTATGCTTGTGCTCAATTTACATGAGGGATATGTGCTTTCCTTGCCAGGATTTTCACTACCATCCCGCTGCGGCCACCTGTCAGATACAGAATATGGCGTCCACTATGTTGAGTCCTTGTTCGTACTACACATCCTTTGTTTTAGCATCTTCCTTGCTGACATGCTGAGCTAGTGGCTGTGCAGCTGTGCAGTATTCCCACTCTTGTCATATTTTCTGGATCACTTTTGGGCATCATTTCCATTGAAAATACAATTTTGTTGGAAATAAAAGTAGTTCATTGGCTAGCATCCTGGGCTGAAATGCATAACATACAAGTTCAAGTTTCTGGTTTGCCTGACTATGAGCGATCTGCTTTTGGAAATCAATCAAAATCATATCACAGAGAGCTGGAAAGGAGTTAAGCCTTAGTGTCTCCTGTGCCAAGTATCCTAATTACCTGGCTCTGAAGTATCACATACACACACACGCTTATACTCATGTTTTGTTTTCAGCATGGAAAAAAAAAATTTTTGGAAGGTACTGCTAGAGAAAATTGTTATCCTTTACTAAATTCTTGTGGCTAGGAGCTGTGAGTGAGATGAGTAGTGAATTCATTAATAGTCATCCATATTGCTAATGAAGTGCAGAGGAAGGTTAAGGCACCAGGCTAAGGGCGTGAGCAGCTAGTTGCTATGTATGTAACAAACAGCTATGCCTCATGGTATTCACAGCTATGAGATGGACATTCAGACCACAACTCCAGTGCCCAAGGATGGTTGAGGCTAATGCCTCACCTGTGCAGGCATTAACAGTTGTACTCAGTATGGCCAATTAGCTCAGGTACAGCACGGTGTTAGCAGAGGTATATGGAGTTGATTGGAACTAACGTTAATTCCGCTAGTGTAGAAGGGAGGGAGAAGAATTCGATTCTGTATGCAGTCATCTCCTATGAGATTTGTAAAACCAGCCATGCTGAGTGGAGATTTGCCTGAACAAGTCGGTAGGAAATGTTAAGTCTGGCCAAAGTTCTACCCTTCTGGCTGACGAATGGTGAAGCTGAGGCCCAAGCACTGCCTTTTTCTTCTCTAGGCTCTGCTGTTGAGGGTGACAGGAGAACAGTAGTGTTGGAATAGTGATGGTGTCCCAAACAAGATTTCTCAGAACTCATCCATTAGTACACTTCAATGCCTACATCTTCAGGCATTTAGCCTCATTTCCAGGCATACCACTCTCTCCACTGCCAGCTAGACGCATTGCCGGTGCGTATGTGCATTTAAGTCCTGATCCTACTAGGTTTCTCAGGACCTCAGCCTATGTCCCAAAAGGATTCTCTAATCAAACTCTCTGTGTTACTCTTTCCTAAGTCAATATTTTTTTTCAGCACTCAACTTAAAACATGTCTTGGATGTAGGTGTGTCTGCATACTTGTGTATGCTCAATAACATAATGTTAAGGCACTCCACAGGTATGCAGGAGATAAATTTCAGGCTTGATTTGATTTGGATGAGGGATTTGGATCTATATCTCACATACTCCAGATAAATTTGCAGTGTACCAGATTATTAAATATTTTTGCAATTAATCTTTTTCTTTTTTTTAAAGAGATGTTCCCCTTTGTTCAATGTAGATATGTTACTGCCCTTTTCTCCTGAATATCCCCAGGGATTTTTCTTCCTGGCTACAGAATAGGGGCTCCTTCTTTCTCTCTCTGCTGACACTGCTGTGAGGTGAGGGACAATCCTTAAATCTTCTACAATCTCAATAATAGTGAGGAAGATGTATTGCCATTCAGCTCCACATCTCACATGCTTCCACGCTCTTTCCCATACGGTAGAGTCCAATTACTTCTCTCCCAAATTATGGTTGTTGAGGCATTTTTTTTGTATTCTTTCTGGCTGTTGGGATGTTTTTTCACATGCTGCTTCAAGTTCCAATTGTCTGTTAGTTTAGAAGCCTTTTACAAACTTCGAGCATTTGCTTGTGTCTGTTTAATGTAACAAAATTATTATGTCACACCTTTCATTTCATAATCTGCAAAGGAAATTATCCTGCTTGAAGGTAATAACGTAGTGCTTCATTTGACACCATAACCATTTAACCATAATGTTAAATTAAAAACACCCCTTAAAGAGCTATCTTTTGAAAGAAAAAAACCCATTGAATCTAAAGATAGCAAGGAGACCATGTAGAACAGAATGACATTTTCACTTAGAAATCATATTACTATTTCTGTAATAGTATTTTCTTATGAAAGCTCCTTAATTTTTAGTTCCTATCTTTAAAAAAATTGAACAAATTTCTAACATTTTTTTTTTTAATATTCAAATAACAGTCCTGTAGATTGGCTTAACATGAAGTGTTCACTTTGTAAGGTACTTAGTCACCGATTCATTTAAAGCATGTGCCTGTCTTTGTGTTCCGAAGTAATCCGTTTCACATGTGAACATTCACATGTTAAATTTAAATACACACTTAGGCAGCTAGTTGAATCAAGGTCTAAAAAGAATATTGATACTATAGTTGGAGTAATTCAGCATTGTTTTACTTCACTGTAGGAGAGTTTGGTGAAGTGTGCAGTGGACGTCTAAAGCTTCCTGGCAAGAGAGATGTTGCAGTAGCCATAAAAACACTGAAAGTTGGCTACACTGAAAAGCAAAGGAGAGATTTCCTGTGTGAAGCAAGCATCATGGGACAGTTTGACCACCCCAACGTTGTTCACTTAGAAGGGGTTGTTACCAGAGGTAAGCAGCGGCTCAATCTGTCAGTCAAATAACAACATAATGGCAGAAATTACTTTAGCTTATTCATGGTCAAAGATTCAAATTATAAACAGGCTGCACACTCCTAATGGATTTTCTCCTGATGCGTAACTAAGTAAAACAATACTTACTTTATGCTGCAACCTGAGGAAAAAAATTAAGATGCACGCATGATTAAAAGATGAAGTACTTTGAAATATATTCTTTTTCCAGTTTCATTTAGCCTCAAAGACCATGCAGAGAGATAAGGTTTCTTATGTCCTTTCATATTATCTGAAGTGTCATTATTCCAGAGTCCTGTTCACCCAGCAGGAGTTAGGAGAACACACTGACATTTTGATTTGTATGGTTTAATTCTGTGTTTCATGTGAATCATGACCACGTTCCATGCAGACATTTAAGAACTTATTAGAGATCAGTAACAGTGCTGGAGGCCTCAGAAATGTTCGTTGTTTCAATGATTCAGTCCTTCAAAGGAATAACATGTGTTTTATCAAAAAAAGGCACTCCATTTGTGTTACAGTTTCTCAAATAAAATCTGTCGTCTTTTCTTTCAGGGAAACCAGTCATGATTGTAATAGAATACATGGAGAATGGGGCCTTAGATGCATTTCTTAGGGTAAGTACCAAACTGAAAACATATATAAACATATTTTAAGTGCCTATTATATTATATTATACTATACTATATTATATTTTTTCATTTTAAAAATATGGGTTTATATATGTGCATATGTATGTATGCATGCATGATATTTCATAAAATTAAATGGTTTATGGGCTGAAATAGAGCTTGACAAATACTAGCAGTTCCCTATGTTATTTCAGCAAAACCAGATCAGAAATTAGAGGAACAGACAAGATCACATGGGAACATTCTAGGAAATTAAGTGATTTAATGTGGCATAGACATGGTGGGTTTTATTACTTCTGTCAGCTGAAGTTAAAACTACTGATACCTGAAGCCAAATCTTCTACCTTTTGGGAGCAGAATTTTATTGTGTCAGCATGGTAGAAATCAGCATATAAGAATACCTAAATGAACTATGATCATGTTTAAGAGAAGAACAAAGGCAAAAGAAATGCAAGTTCACAATAATTTAGCATTTTTTGAATGTGTGTTCTGAGCTGGCCAGTTCTGACATCTTACCAGGTGTACAAGGCAGTGTGAGAGGTATAAACACTCTATAGAGAACAGAAAGACTATGTATGTTTGATAAACTCCAAGCTATGAATAAAATTATCAGTAGCTGGAGTTCCAAAAGGAGATAATTCTTGTTTTCTTGATACAAAAAATTATGTTGAGAGATGAAAAGCATAGAGGCAAACAATAAAAAGCTGTGCATCAAGTAGTCTCTCTTAGAGGAGACTTGCCATGACTTAGCCAGAAATTGATAGTGATTAGCAAGTTTTGTTACTTCTAGTACATTAAGTACTCATATATTTCTTAACTGGAGGTACTGCTTTATCTCTGAAGAAAATAAAACTTGTGTTTGAAGTGAGTTTCTTTGCCCCAGGATGAATTGCCACAGAAGTAGTAAATAACTAGAAAGCTAAAGTTGTAAAACTAATTCTTGTTTCTCTTCTCAGCTATACTAACAAGAATTGCTGCTCCTTTCTTCCCTCCAGAAACATGATGGGCAATTTACAGTCATTCAACTAGTGGGAATGTTGAGAGGAATTGCTGCTGGAATGAGATATTTGGCCGATATGGGATATGTACACAGGGATCTTGCAGCACGCAATATTCTTGTCAACAGCAACCTTGTTTGTAAAGTGTCAGACTTCGGCCTTTCCAGAGTTATAGAAGATGATCCAGAGGCTGTCTACACTACTACTGTAAGAGAAATTGATGGGTTTTAGTAGTTTTGAGATGTGGTTGTTAAGAAGAAGCATATCTTCTCGAGAGTGTAGATAAGAGAAATACATTAATTGCTTGAGAAATGTTAACTAGTCAAAAGGAAAAGAGTCTCTGTAGAAATCTGTCTCTAATTAGGGGTTGATATTTTTGTAAGAACATACATTTGCATTTGGTAAAGTTTGAAAAATTTTGCACACTATCTTCATTATTCCCTTCCTCATGATTTTCTGTTTGAACAAATACGGAAGTTTTACCCATAAAAAATTTAATCATCTCGTTTACTATGAGTCAATTAAAATATTTGTAGGCTATTACTATTTTTCAGACTAGATTTTATCTCACCAAAAAGTTGACTAGCTTGAGGCTAGACTGTGACAAAGCTCAACTCCTGTATTTTCCCTTGCTTTTGGGTGGGACGTTTTTCTTAAATAAGCATTCAACTGGCACAGTATGTTCTTTATTCTTTTGTTGATCCAGCTCCACTTTCCCACCCGTTGGGCCTCTCTGTACCTATTTTTTTCATTCTGAGGGAAGGAGGGGCCCCTGGAATCTGCTCCAACAGGCACAGGGATCCGGGAAACCGCACTGGTGTTCACGGCTGTCACTCCTGCTGCTGGGCTTTTAGTGGGATTCTGGTTTAAAAATGTCAGACTGAAATTTCAGAGGAGCCATATGACAATTCAACAGGATTTATATGCACAGGATGAGACTCCTCTCACCTAGCTTCAGCCAGCCAAGAGTTAAATGACTAGTGTAAATCAAACATCTAAACAGTCCCTTAAAATCAATAGAGAGATAAGTACTTCCAAACGCATTCAACTTAACTTAGACAGGTGGCTAAGTTTCTATGGTCCAAGTGTTTTAAGAGCCTGAACTTCCTTAGACTTCTTTGAAAATTCTGCAATTGATCAACTATACTGGATGATATAAGTGCTGCTTTTGATGTTTATAGAAATAATTGTAAATGCACTCCATAGAAGCTGATATGGAAGTTTTGCAGAGAAAAAAGAAAACACTCTTCTCTTTTTTTCATAGGGTGGAAAAATTCCAGTGAGATGGACAGCTCCAGAGGCCATCCAGTACCGCAAATTTACATCAGCCAGTGATGTGTGGAGTTACGGAATAGTTATGTGGGAAGTAATGTCTTATGGAGAACGGCCTTACTGGGACATGTCAAATCAAGATGTAGGTTATACTTTGTCTGTTTGTATGCGTGTGTCAGAAAAAAAAATAAATTACATATTGTAAACACTTATATATGTGTTTCACTATACATGCATAAAATATTTGTTTAGAAATAAGATTTATCAAAATACCGTAGGGTTCTCTCAAACTGCAAAAAGTTACAGAGCTTTCACTTTTTACCTAAATCTTTAAATCATTCTCTGTCATGTGGATGTTGTAGGTTTCTGTCCCAAGTATCAAGTAAAATTGGAACATCAAAAATAGTATGTGCTCTTTATTTTATTACACTTAAGCATAGAAAGAATTAATTCTTTCCAATAAAAAATAATTCTGAGATTTCTGACCTCAGAGCAATGATTAATCAGTTGAAAAAACTTGTTAAATATCTGAGTGGCAGTTAATGACCTACTTTGTTTTTTTCAAGTTAATTATGCTGATTTAACAATACCCTTGTTTGCATAAAATAAGATCCAGAGCAACAGGTCAGCAGTAAGAGAACAGATGGGTGTTAATCTTGATTTCTGACAAGAGTATCTATTAATATAGAAAGTACACAGGAAAAAGCCATGCAGGTGAGAAAGATGTCAGGAAGTTCTTCAGGTTGGGGACTTGAATTTTTTTTATTATTATTTTATTTTTTGATTGAGTGATCGACATCAAAGTTTAAAAAAAAAATAAAAGTGTAAATGATGAGTCAGTTTGGCACAGTTCAAAGTTGTTAATATTTGACAGGTCTCAGTGTCAAAGATTTCATGGACTGTCAAAATATGGGCAAACAAATCCTTGGGGCAGAGAAAGAGAAATATTTACATTCCCTAGACACCCAGTAGAGTTTCATTTCTTTTGACACCTTCCTTCTGTACTAGATTCAAACACAAAAGAAGTCTGACAGGAGTATAAGATGCCTCAAAGGCAAACGTTACCTATCTTTCTGGGAACAATAAGGAAAAACTTTTAAATAGGGAAGAAATTTTGGTACCTTCATGCTTCTTGTTGGATTTTGTAAAGTATTCCCTCTATTAATAACTGCAAATAAAGCTCGTTAATGACTCTTTTTCATAAAATGGCTAATTACCACTTCTTGCAGTTTCATCTCTTTTTAGCATCTTACATAATAATCTTCAATAGCACATAGTTAAAGGATGCATCATTTTCTTGGTAAAATAATTTCAAATATTCTTGTATGCTGTGATCTTCAAAACTGTCCTGAAACATACCTCCCAAAACATATACATATCCTACCAATCCCATAGATAAATCTATGATGCAAGAATTTAGACTCATCTTATGAGTAGTTATTCTCATTCACAGTGACCAGTTGGAGTATTTAACTGGAATCAAAAATGCTAAATGTGTCTCTTCTAATTTTGCATATACGCTTAGGCAGTTTATATATCTGAAGTGTATCATTTTGCCTAAAAGTGGATGTGGATGTAATCATAGACAAGACCAGATCTCCTAAAAAATATATTTCCTTGACATATGCATCTTTAGATGACATTTCTTTAATTCTGCCCCTCTTCCTTTAAGTCATTGTTTTAGATTGATGGAGGATCCAGATTTGTGGTGCGATTTCTTTTTAAGCAACATCTTCCTTTTAGCAGTGACCTGGAGCTAGGGTCCCCTGCAGAAGAACACTCCTCCTGCAAGCCCTGTGCAGAGGCACAGTGGGCTGAACACAAATCATAGAGAGTCCCCACAACTTCCCTGAGCAGTGGGCTCCCCTCATCTTAATCCTTGCTGGTAACAGCAGCCCTCAAACTGCTGCACTTTACCATATTCCCTTATTAGGCTGCTGGTGTTTGCTAGCTCTTGCTCTCATTTGGTTACTCACCCTAGTGCAGATTACTTCTTCAGAAAAGGACAAGAGTTTAGGCTTACATTTTTTTTCTTTGCTGTACTCCTGGATTTATTATCATTGTTATGATTAATAATTTATATTATTATTATATACCCAGAAGCAGAGTAATAACATTACATTATCCAGTTACCTGTATTTAATACTTCCTTGTTGGCAACCAGTATATACAGTGATCAGACCTGGCCCACTTCACATCCTCAGATAGCCTGATTATGATAAAAACATACTTGACTCTTAACAGTATTGCCTTTCTCTCTTCTTGCAGCAAAAGCAGAATTTGAAAAACAAATTGCTGGGAGTGTAAATAATATAAATCAATTCTATTAGTCAGAATTCCAGCTGTGTTCTCTTTGTAGCTTTGCTTATTTAAAAAAGAAATAATAATTTCCTGCATCTATTTCATTATCTCCCACTACTGATTTTTGGAACCCCACCCCCACCTTTCTTAGCAGAGTAGACACTTGTAGTACCCTTCAAAGTGTCGGAGTTTAGGATAAAGTTTGGGGGTTTTTTTTAAGAAATTTTACTTATCAATATTTTAGAATGTTTTTTTAATGTTTTGGATATTCCCGGCAATTCCATCCATCTCTAGCTAACTCATTCTTTTATGTTTCTCAATTTCATCCTTCTTGCTCAGAATACACATCAAAGCAGCTGATTCTGCAGTATCCCCAAAGCCTTTTTAAAATAATATCATCATCTTGATTCCCACCTCTCTTCAGGTGTCTCTGCAGATCGTAGTGAATGTGGAAAAGTCCTGTTCATGTTCCTTTCATTCATCTTTTCATTATCCCTTACACTCTTGGATATAGTCTTATCTAGATGGTGTGCCAGTTCTGAGCATATCAGATATTTTGGTGGTGGTGTTGCTGGTGGTGTTACCTACTTTTTCACTCATTGGTTGTCTTTGTGTTCTCACCTCTTAAGCAACTATGTCATTTGTAGTAAATCATACGTAGCATGCACAAAGTGTTTAACACCTTTTACCTTTTAACAGGTCAGAAATGTCTGTATTACGTTTCATAGCATACCAGTTGTCCTGTACACACTGTAGCTTTTTTTTCACTTTTATTCCACTGCTACTTCTAAGCGTAAGGAGCTGTTCTTTTGTTTTTCCTCTTAATACTGCTCTAAAAGATCTCACATTTCACTTTTAATATTTTCTTTCATATATAGTAGTATTTTTCCAGTTTCCCTGTTCAGCAGAAATCCTCTGTCCCCACCTGGTCTGACGGATAACTTCACTGTCTCTAACAGGTCACTGCACTCATTCTTCAAGGTGTAGATGTTACTGCAGGAGTTGAATATGTCTCAGTCATTTTTGAGTTGTAGGACAGCACTGTCATTCTAAATGTCCAGATAGAAAACTGAGGCCCAGAGAAATGAGGCAACTTCCCTGAGGTTGGAAGGATATTCTGTGACACAAACCTGCAGTAAGTGCCCTACCACTGGGCTATGCCTCCTCTTTTCACAAAACTTCTTCTCTGCAAAAGGTTTTGATACAATCATGGATTTCAGCCAGCTTTTTGAAGGTCATTTTGTATTCTTTGCAGTTCTGTCTACTTTGCAGCCCACTGCTTTTGCATTTTCTTACACAACCTATGGAATGTTTTCTATCTGAGGTTATTATTTTCACTAAACCCTGGATATTCACCAACTTTATTTATCATACTAGATCTACTTCCTAGGGCTAAGTCCAGAAAGCTTCTGATCTTGCTTTCTGTACAAACTGAGAGAGAACACAGTCCTACACTTTACCCTTCAGGAACAAGCACCCTTCCTTAGCAATTCTATTCAAAACTGCTATGTCAGTCAATGTCAGTATACTTGAAATCCCCCATGAACGGTGTTTTAGCCCTTTTTCACAAGCCTTTCTTATCACATTGCTTCCTGATGTGCTTTCTTATCCTGCCCTCAAGGTTTACAGCAGTTTCCTGTGATTTTACTTTACCCATGTTTTTTTACTTAAATTCAAATGGACTTGGCTAAGGATGTCAACAGGTAGGTGTAATTCTTGGTTCAGACATTTATGTTCTCCTTCAATCATATCACCACCTAGCAGCATCTCTTATTAAACCTAACTTTCTGTTTAGATGGTATATTAAAATACCATTCAGCCAAGTCTTCTTCTCTCATGTGGCACATTTCTACTACTTTATCATTAATGTGACATTGGCTAGACATAGAATACAACTTTTTTCCCTAACAGTTTCTGTCTGCTAAACATTTTTCTTGGATCTTTTTATAATATCTTCAGGCTTTATGTATTTTATATGTGCATGCACAGATCTCTATCCATTTAGAAGTCAGTTGCTTCTACCACACACTCCTTCATAAAAGCCTTGGGGCAAGTAATAATGCTTTCTGAAATAACTCCATTTATCAATCTATCTGTTGCTCCCTTGGTGAATTTAATTGTTGCTCCCCACTGCTCACTTGACTAGGTAATATAGCTGTGTTCTGCACGTATAGAGCAATATGCTTAATAAGCCCAAAGATGATAAAGTCATGGAAATTATTTGAAAACTTGAAGGCTAGTGTCAAAACAGCAGACTCATATTTTTGCAACACTGATGGCAAATTTTACTTTATTGTTGGTTTTTTTCCTTCTTTTATTTCTTGAACTAGGTAGCAGTATATATTTCTTAAATACCCCTTGATGAAAAGTGATTAACTATGTTGGCTACTAGGTTATAAAAGCAATCGAAGAAGGCTATCGTTTGCCAGCACCCATGGATTGCCCAGCAGGACTGCACCAGCTGATGCTGGATTGTTGGCAGAAGGAACGTGGTGAAAGGCCAAAGTTTGAGCAGATAGTTGGTATTCTGGACAAAATGATTAGAAACCCAAACAGCTTAAAAACCCCACTGGGAACATGTAGCAGGTAAGAAAAGCTTTAGTGTGTGTTTGTATGATGGTGCGTGTGGCTGGATTATGGATGTTCTGCTTGATGGCTGGTTCCAGTTCATGCTTTCTCCATGTGTCTCTCAATTCCTCCTTTGTCCTGTTCCCTGTTCTTCCCTTCCCTCATTTGCCCTTCTTTTTTACCATGCTGAACAAAGCCAAAAAGGACTTTCTTAAAAAATAACCAAAACAAAGAAATTAAGTATCATGGAACTAACACACTTCTCAGTAAACTACTGCCTGCTCGTCCCTCTTTCCACACTCTCACGACTAGCAGTCTTTGTTTTCTTTTTTCCTTAAAATTATGAAGTATGGAGGGCCAGGATCATCATCTACTGTAGTTTTATATGATGCATCCCTTGCCCTTGGAACTGCTACAGTAGAAATAGTAATTAATAATACTCGTGCTTAACCAATGTACTTTGACATTGCTACACTCTAGATTTTTCTCTTTCATTTTCTGGCTTTAACTCCTTTTAGTGATTGCACCTCATTGTGTTTCATATGTAGCTCTTAATGGTTTCTTCATAAATTTCAGGTGAATTATTTAATTGTGATAATCTTTTGATCTGCTAGCTAGATCACTGCACTAGGGAATCAACTGGCCTGTGTTCAGCTCCCAGTTCTTCTACTGACTGATCTGCTGTGTGACCTGAAGCAACTTAATTTATGTCTCTGCTTTTTCCTTGTCTTTGTTTTGTCCCATTCAATTGAATACTGGGAATAGTTACTACATTTTCTAAGATGCTTAAAAGAATAGCATCTTTATTTTACTTAGCAACTTTAGCTGCAGCTGCTGTCATGTTAGGTAATAAGGTTGATTTTCTGTTGGTAATAGTCCATTAGGCTGATTTTGCTCACTCTGACCTTTCATCTTTTACATGAATAAGCTTAGGAAAGACATATTGTGAGGTACAGAGTAGTCAAGAGCTATTCACAGAATAATCTAAACTATATAAAGACCTATTACTTTCTACTCTTGACATTTTTAATATCCCAAACTTACTTGACTCTCACCTTGCTAAATACTCCCTGATGTTTTACTCTCTTTGGAAACAACTTACTTTCCTTTTTCCTTCTCCGTAGACCAATTAGCCCTCTTCTGGACCAGAACACTCCCGATTTTACCACTTTCTGCTCCGTAGGCGAATGGTTACAAGCTATTAAGATGGAAAGATATAAGGATAATTTCACAGCAGCAGGCTACAACTCTCTTGAATCAGTTGCCAGGATGACTATTGAGTAAGTTAGTACTGGGCATGTTTAACTTGAATTTAGGCAATTTCTAGGTAAAACAATACACAATGTTCAACTCCGAAACTTTACCTTGAGTACAAACATGGTACTTGGAGTTAAGCCAGCTGGTTTAGCAGCTGGTGATGTTGCACTAGAGCATCCCATGAAAGGGCAAATACCCTGCTACCTACGTGTGGCATCACTTCTTTCCCTGTTTTTGAAACCAATTGAAATTACACCAAGGGGCTAGAATTTGAGGGAGAATGTGGCCCCTTTCAAAGTACGTATGTATAGAAAAATAACTACTTTGCCTCCACTACCTAATTGGTACTTTTTTCCAGACATGTACTAGGAAGATGTGGAATTTTCTTATAATTGGCTGGGGGCTGTCTGTGTCCTGCAAGAAATGACTTTGCATCAGGATAAAAGTCTATAGAAGCAAAACATTTTTCTGAAGGCAAACATGACCTATATTGGTACTGCCATCTTAAACAGGTCTTCTTGGCACCCTGGAAACAACATTCTTGTCCTGGTGGTTGCCAAACACATGTAATTCCTCTTACAGAGCGCAGTGTTTTTCTAAACAAGTTTCTAAACAATATTCTTAAGTTTGCAACCCTACTCTTATCTGCCTGGTATCACTAGGGGTCTCAGCCTACAGCTTGGGAATTGTCACCAGAGACCACAAGCTTCTAGTAGGTCAGTAGCACTAGTAGCGGTGGAATTGAAACAGTTGCTTCTGTTTCATTTGCATGATGGGTATGGGTCAATACGCAAAAGATTTCTCTAGGCATCTCTTTAGAAAGTTGAATGTGATCCCCAAAATCTTGTATTTATACATAACTTTGTCCTGAAAGCCACCTGAAGTATTTTACAAGAGAAGTGTCTCTTTCTTTGGGTGTCCTTAAAAATGACCATAAAAGATTATTGCAGTGCAAAACATACTGGCCTCATTCTCAGATGTGGAGATACATACACTGTAATTACATGACACTTGCCATGTAATTGCACTCCTCACTGGGAAGTTGAACAGCACCTGTATGACTTCACAGTACTGAGCTGAGGTTCTAGTGTAGCTTCAATGTTAGAAATCTGTAGCCCAGTCCACTACGTAGCTTTGACTCACAGTTGAATACCATACAATAGCAGTCTAAGTTGAAAAATTAACAATGTACGCATTTATCTTCCCCAGGGATGTGATGAGTTTAGGGATCACGTTGGTTGGTCATCAAAAGAAAATCATGAGCAGCATTCAGACTATGAGAGCACAAATGCTACATTTACACGGCACTGGCATCCAAGTGTGATAGACATTTCTCCCTTATGAGGGAGGTGACAGACTGAGAGAACAGCACTGGCCTTCAGTATATATGAAGTGCTGCTAGAAGACACTTGATTTCCTGGGTCCTTCCTGCAGTGAATAGAAGAGCTACAAGAAGCACCTACAGACTTGAACTCCTAAGTGCCACCAGAATTTATGAAAAGGGAATTAGGATCCACCAGTGGTGGCAAGGAAAACAGCAGTGACAATAAACAAAGTACTACCTGAATAAACATACAAACACCTTGAGCTCTCTAACCTCCTTTTTATCTAATAGACTTTTTAAATGTACATAAAAATTTAAAAAAGAATATATTTGTCAGATAAAATCATGATATTATTGTTAAATTCAACAAAATATTTTCCTTAAATCTGTGATTTCTGAATCTTTTTCTTAATCATTTGTGTTTATTCTTCATAAAGACTTTCTTTTAGTATGATGTTTATATCTTTGGACCTTTTTAGTGCTAATTCTATGACACATTACTACACTGGGTACCTCTGAAGGATTATTTGAGTTCCTAGAGATTTAAGAAGCATGACCAAGCAATGTATATCTGTCCGAACTTTGGTATCCTTTTGTGCCATTTACTTTTGTTAAATCAGCACCGTATTGACATGGCTAGCTAATTGGCAGGGAGTCAGGAAAATGCAAGTTGCCAAGAGCTCTGATATTTTTTAAAGAATTTTTTAAGGTTACACATATACTATCTTTTAAAAGAAAATAAAAGATTAAAAAAAAAAAGAAAAGCAATAATGACCCCTAAGTAGTTCTAGGCACTTTTAGCAAATTGTTTGCAAGATGATTTTAATGGACTAGAGTTAAAGTGAGATATATTCTAAGATGTAGATCTACAACTGTAAAACTGCTGAGACACTGCATTGAATGGACAAGTGATTGTAGGAGTGTCTCAGAACACGGGTGCAGTTCTCCAGTGTTACCTAAACCATTTAATCTGAGCACATCACATTTTTTTTTCAATACTCTGCATTAGCAAATCTGAGGGAAATAGCTGGCAATATGTTTTATATGAGTTTAAGCTGAATGCAGTCCAGATGTCAGAATAAGGACATAGATTTTTTACGAGAACTGTAGAGCACGAGGCAAGGGGCAGTTCAAAATTTTCAAGTTTTTTTACAAGCTTTTGCTGCTCTGAACAAACATGAGTGTGTGTGCTCACACAGACACAACAGTCATTCATCAGGAACACATGCAAGAGTAGTTGCTCAATGGCATATCTTTTTATACCATTTACTTATATATGAATTTTGTTTGATTAAAATGTTTAACTACCATAAGCAATAATGAACGGTGTCTTTACAGATGTTGCAAGAATGTATGTGAACCAGAGAGAAATGCTTCAAAAAAATCTGAAAGTTGTGAACTGCCCCAGCAATGAAATGCTGTACTTCCAAAGAGAATTGGGCTGCCTCTATTGGTTTTGATAGAGAAAGATCCCAGGGATCAGTCATAAATTGGTCTTGTTTGATAATGTGGGCATCCACACAAAAAAAATAAAAACAAAAGAAAAACCCTGTAAATGTTCCTTTGTAAAACTTGTAAATTTTATTTATACTGTCTTGTTTTGTACACACATTTATGTGTAGTGAGCTCTGAATACATTGAAAATGCACTATATTTTTCTATTTTACTTGCAGAGCATCACAAACAAACATGTATATTCAGTGCTACATAATGTGTTTTCCCACATTTAGGACCAAAGATAGTTATCAAAAAAATTAAATGCATCATTTTCCCCCTCCTTTTTTTCTCCCCATTTTTAGATCACTGTACAGTGTTATATTTGTCATTTTATTTATTTGCTTCATTAGAAAAATCAGTTTGGTTATACTAATTTTTTGTCCCCCCTGCCTTTGTTGAAGAAAATATGTAAAAAGCTTTTAACTAGCATAATCCCGTTACATAGACACTTCCATTTGTAATCTTTGTAATAGACTGTAAATATATTTTTGGAACTATAATGCAATGTGCATAAGGGTTATTTTTCGGTGTCCATAAATGATTGTTTATACAATTCACAGCACTTTACAGTCATGCTGAGAAGCCTAATTTATTGCCTGGATTTGGGCAGAGTAAGAAAAAGGTGAATATTCTTATTTCGTATTAGATTGTCATTCAGTAGAAATGGAGTTATTTTCATGTATGCAGCTCAAGATGGTTTTTTAACTATTAAAATTAATTTTCTAGAGGTTTTCTAGAAATGCTGTAGAAGTAAGACGCAGAGTAGACTGCACGCCCAATATTGAAATTAGTGCACGCAAGCACTCGGCCAAGGCACTTCGAGTAGCCATTGGAATACTTAATTAATAAACATCTGTTTTGTGTTATAACAAATGCTAAGTGCCTCACTACTGGGGTGAGCATCTGTGGGCAACTGCACAGGGTGCTTGTCAGTTTTGCTGCTGCTTTAGGCACTCAGCTATAAATTTAGGAGTCTAAGTTCAGACACCCGCATCCTTATAAAGCTCAGCTATTGTTTCTAAGGGCTTGGTGATTAAAGGTGCGATGCAGCAATGCTGGTATTGCTGAGAACCCACAAACCTTAAATGCAAGAGAGTTGAGGCCAGGCTTCACCATTAGGACTTGTTCAATATTCTGAAGCACAGAGGCCTCGAAGCACGTGTGGTGACCTGGTCTCACACATGTAAAAGTGAGGGCCCTAATGGTATTTCTTCCTTATTTTTCCTTGTTTGATTTAAGCCATCTTCTTTGAATAGTAAATATATTTTAGCATTCATCTAAACACCTTGACTGCCTTAATGTTGCCACAGATTTTTACACATTTGAAAGTGGTAGAGTGGACCCAGAAAGCACAACTGTTATCAATACTCCTATTGTATCTATCTGTTCAGAACATTACTGCAATTTAGAGCACATGCATGTAAATGGATTTGTAACCGGTAGAGCAGCAACATATTGATGTTGGTTGCAGTTCCCCAGGTTCCAGGAAAACATAGTCCAGTGTAAGAAAAAATAAAGTGCCAGAGAAATTTGATGTTCATGAGATAAACTGAAGAAAAAGTTGGGTAAGGGGGAAAATGAAAGGCTAAATGATGAAACAAAGACATTATCTCAGTTCTAGCTTAATTTCATTGAATTTGGAAATTGTGCATCGCTAAAGAAGACAGATTATCAGGCTGTCAGTGAGGCTGATCTTTCTTGACTTTATCTATCTACAAACATCTAAAGGAGAGGTGCCTAAGACAGGCAGGATGAATCTCCCTTTGCAAATGCTTATCTCCATTACTTGTAGAAGGAACCCAGATGATTAGCTTAAATTAGGTGTCTAATGTCTAGATAGTTAAATTTAGGTGAGGTGATTCCTACCCTGTATGTCCTTGGCTGCTACATTTTCCTCCGCAAGCTGCATCATAGAAAGGCGGCTCCTCTACTAGTAGTGTGTCCCAGAATGTATTTAAACTGGGCTTTATCACAGAGAGGTGATTTTTTTTTATTCACAGATTTATAACAGATCATCCAAATGCTTTTTGTATATGGGTATTAATTCTCAAAAAATTTGTGATTGTTCTGAAGAAGACCTGCCTAGTAAATTACAGCTATTTAATATTTTAAATAATCAGAAATATTTGCTGACATACTGCTTCAGTCCAGAGGTTATGTGATCAGATATGATAGTTGCTGTTTGCAAAACCATGTTTATCTAAAGCCTTGTCATGTAAAAATCTCCAGGAAGCAAAGATGCTTAAATATATCTCAAATTGAATGTTGCCCTTAATATCTCAATAATTGAGCTCTGTCTGTATTATTCTCCATTTAAAATGAATTTTTTATATTTGTTTAAGCTGGAGTTATCTGGCATCCACTAAGGGAGTTTGAAGAAATTATTTTAAATTAAATTTGCTTTTCTCCACTAATAATAATACATGGTAAATAGTTTCCACTCTTTGGAATGTTACAAAAACTATTGCTTTAATGTGGGGGATGAAGGGGTTTATTTTTGTTTTGTTGTTGGTAGTTTTTTACATTTATTGGTTAGTAGTTGAAATAAAAAAAATAATAATTTGTCCGTAACTTTCTAAATAATTAATATATAGCAATTTTGAGAATTATTTAAATTCTGCGACTTTTGGGTTACTACTGAGATGGTGATCATGTCACTACATCCATAATACCAAGCGATGCCAAGACACCCTGCCAACAGTGGGGGGGGTTCAGCCGGTATTCTGTTGCCCAGCAATGGCATGTCCACTGGCTGTGAGCGAGGAATGAAGGCCAACTCAGCCAAAAAAGGGTCATTTCACCTTTTAAGAATATATATGTGACATATTAGAGCTAACACATCCGTAATGCATTACTTCCCTGCATGCACTTAGAAACTGATATGTTCATCATATGCATTTGTCTTTTTTGTGTTTTTTTCCTAGTTGGTTTGTTTGTTTTATTATAAACAAGTGACATTTGGGGTGCTTGTGGAAGAGAACAGTTCCCAGACAGGTTGTCAAGCCCAGTTTAAGAAAGGTACAATACAAATTCTTGCTTAGCAGTAATTCTGGCAGCAGGTGCTGCAGGGTTATTCAGGCAGTTGGTGCTATGATTTGCTGAGCAACGAGCACAGCAGGGTTTCTGCATGTTCAGGACCTGTTAGGATTGTACTTCTGATGAATTAACTGATACGTAGAAACAGGCGAATTTTTTCCCCCCACTAACTGGGATGGACTTGCAGATGGTAGATTTGGGATTTAGAAGACTACTCAGAAGTCTTATTCTCAAACTAATTTCTAGTAAAACAAGAAATTCTGGGCAGCAGCCTATATTTTCTCTCCTATTCCCTTAAGGATTGTCAAACCTAGCCAACAATTACTTTTAAACAGAGATTTTTATTGTTTGCATAGTGCAGCCTTCTATTTACTTGGGAATAGGCAGTTCTGTAATTAAATTCCTGCAAAAAGGATTGGGGAGAAGTGGGGGAAGGGAACACAAAAGTTTGGAAAAAGACCCATGAAAACAATGAAAGAAAAACCGAATCCAACCAATGACCTGTGAAACCCAAAGTATGACTGGGCTCACCATTTTTGTAAGACATTCCATATAGGAATTTGAAAAATATGAGAGATTAAACCATTGACATTAGATTTTCAGTATCCGACAAGAGTAGTGGAAGAATGCAAGCGACATTTATGGGAGTTTTTTCCTCTTTGGTTTTGGTTCTGTGAGATTTTTAAGTTAAGATAATTAACACGCAGATTCAGAGTAAAGTCTGTTGGGACAGGCTAAGGGACAAAATTAGTGTGTCTATAATATCCATGAAATTTTCAGTGCACTTTCAGGGTGGGTAAGAGTCAGGCAGCTTGAAAGTGAAAGGAATCATGTGGATTTCATAAGCTGTACAGACCGTGTAGGTTATGACCAGTGAGATCACGAAAAGTTAAAGGTTAAAGAGGAAAACCCTCACTTTTGTATCTGGTGAAACGTCAGTAGATGGGAGTGAATAGAAAGAGAGGGGTGTGAAACCATTCAGAATGTGTGAGTCTAAGTCACAGGGCTCTGCAAGACATTGCTGGCAGTGGAGTTAAGGAGTGTTGAGATTTTTTGTTTAAGTAAAGAGACACTGTTAATAAAATATACCTAATAATCTAGTGTGGAGTGGTTTCAGTACTCTGATTTTTCCTCAGGCCAGATTGGAATTTGTCAAAGAGACTAAATTGAGACAGATGGGAAAGCAACTGGTAATACACAGCTCATTCAAGCAGACTTGAAAGAGACATGAAAGGAGAATTTTACATTAAAAGCCTGAAAATAAACTATGAACTCATGGTATTTACTCTCAGAAGGCTTTAGAGTAGTTTTCTTTAAGTCTAGGGTAATGATAGTAGATTTTAACACTGATACGATACAAATTGGGTGAAATTAATGTCTAATTATAGTGACCAAAAAAAACCCACAAGTCAAAAAATAGTTGATGTCTTTATAGACTTTGAAAAAGATGCAATACAGCCATGCGGAACTTGTGTAG